ATATACATATTTATTTATATATATATATGTGTCTCTCGCTCTCTCTCTCTCTCTCTCGCTCTCGCTCTCGCGCTCTCCCTTTCTCTCTCGTTCTCTCGCTCTCTCGCTCTCTCTCTATCTGTCTCTGTGCTCCGTCTCTTTTTCTCTCTCACGCACTCGCACCGAAGGGAAGTATAACTCGAGTGCCACTGAGCAGCAACTCTGATATGAAACTGCACCCGCAAATTATAACACCAAAGTCCCAAGAGCGAGCGAGGCCGCTAGGACGATGTAGCCGAGTGGTAGCAGAAGCACCTTCGGGCGGCAAAGAAGATCGAACAATCACAGCCACTAGAATCACTGCAATGAGCGGTTGTTGCATTGGCACTGCCACTTGACACTCTTCGTTTTTCTTCGGCGCCGCGGTCGAGGCTGCGAGCAGTAAACAAGGCCAGCAAGTACGACTGCACGCTGAAGGAATAACTAGCGCATGTGAAAATTACAAATTACAACAAGCGTGGTGCCTTCGAGGGTTTTAAAGCTGCCTTTGACTTTGGGCCCTTTGGACCGGATACATGCGGTGCCTTGGAAGGCTTCCCTCTCTGTCTCTGAGCAGACGTCAGCGTCGGCTACACATGTGATGTCCCCTGCGAAAAATCAGTGGCGTCGCAAGTCTCAGCATCAAAAAGCCTTGGATCAAAATCATCAAAGAGTCCTGGGATTGCGCTCAACGGAAGCGGCATCTGCTGATCTTCTTTGCCGGCCACGCGTTCCTCCATCTCATCCACTATCATGTCCATCTCGGACGGATCGGAGTCGGACGGATCTTCAGCGGCTTCTTGGGACGGGCTATTCTCTGGCGACGACGACAGTTTGGTCAAATCGGCAGTGTCAAACACTATCCGGGCATCTGTCTCGCCATGGGGTGACGCCAATAAGGTTGCCGAGTCCAGTGACTCTTGCTCGGACTCGGACGCCTGACAGCCAGCACCTGTCTCGGGTTCGGGCGTGGGTGATGCCAACAATTTGTCTAGAAAGAACGGATCCTCGTCGGACTCGAATGCCATCCTGTCACTCCGGGCATCTGTCTCGCCATCGGGTGACGCCCATAAGGTTGCCGAATCCAGTGACTCTTTCTCGGACTCGGAAGCCTGCCAGCCAGCACTAGCACCTGTCTCGGGTTCGGGCGTGGGTGAGGCCAACAGTTTGTCTAGGAAGAACGGATCCTCATCGGACTCTGACGCCATTCTGTCACCGCCGGCACTTGTTTCGGCCTCAGGTGATGGAGCCAGGAGTGATTCCAGAGGATCTGAGTGATCTGAGCGGCACTCGGACGGTGTGTTGACATATACCAAAGGCGAGTCAATGAACAGGCCTTCATACTCGGAACTATCTTCACCACCAGGGCCGTCCATCTGTTGTCTCTGCCGGCAACACTCTGACTGACATCACGAGCTGCCCTACTGAGCTTAAACCTGCAATGTCGCAGATCGAAAAAGGCAATCGACCACACTTGCTAACCACACTTGCTACCGGGCCCTGATCATCTGTTCAAGAATGAAACGCCATCTTCGATCCCCATCTGTCCAGCATGATGGAGCACCTGCCTGACGATCATGTTGTTGACGAGCGGCCGTGCCTCAGGAGGGTGGGGTTATAGGAGTTCAGGGACAGAAAGGGTAAGGGTTAAGGTTCACGGTAGTTGCCTTGAAGATGACGCGAATTAGAGCCGCACGGCCAACAAACCGCGGGGTAGCAACCCCCACTGTTCCTTGGGGTGCCGGATTCTCTGATTAAGGAGAAGGGGCTGAAGGCCGCTCCGATGTTTAGGGTACACGGGGGTGGGCACACAACTTACACAACGCCCTAAAACTTCAAAATCCTGGACCAGAATGCCCAAGCCGATCCAACCACGGTTTAGGGCTCATGGGGTTTAGGGTTCAGGGTTTCAATTGGCTCGCATTGGCTCAGGGGACAGTCTCTTGTGCATAATGCCAAACTCAAATTGCAGCTCTGACCTCTCAAACCGAAACCCCTAACCCCAAACCCCCTAAACTCTAAACCGTAACCTCGGCGCTTGGCCGAGCCACCGTTGCTCCAAGCTGTGTCCTGCGTCGGGATATCTCACATACCAAACCACATACCGAACAAGACAGTCAACACAGGACCAATCCCTGTGCATCCTGCCTTCTGATGCGCAGTCACTAGCGAATGTTGTGCTGCCGACAGTACTCCACAACATGCGCAGCAAGCTCGGCTTGATCACCAAGATCCGCTGGATCGCGAGAGGGGACCTAACACACGATCGCGAGGGCAAGCTGCTGAAGCAAATGCTAGGCTGTTTGACTACGAGTTGCCGTTCGCACGTGTCGTAAACGGACGTCCTCCTGAGTCTCCGCAGGTGCTCGGACCATTTGCGTTCCTGACATCATCAAACGACAAAACACTGCAGTAACCACGCCTAGAAGGTGACCGACAAAACAAAGCTAGCCAACAGGGTCCTGCATACACCCACTGGTGGAGGCGCTTTAGCACAGTGGCTTCATCTGGCTGGTTGAGTTGCATGCTCTTGGAGCATCGGTGTAGGGTGCCGTCAGAATCTCTGTAGGTGTGGAGTGGGCAATTCACGAACATTGCCGGCACCCCAGCGATGTGCCCTCTAACGATGGCGAAGGGGCCAATGCGTACGGTACTCTCATCGTAAATGCTGCTCGAAGGCCCTGCCGCAACCGCAGTGCGCTGTCGCCGTCGCCGTTTGCCCCACAGGGCCTGTGGATCCCGCGCAGACCCAGGTGCACCGTCGTCACTGTCGTCGTGGTCTGACGACAGGCCAGACACATCGCCTGCTGCAATCCTCCTAGCGACCTCCTCTCGGACAGAAGCGGGAGTGGATGGGCTGCCCGCGCTGTCGGACTCATCACCATCGCCTGCATTTCATTGAGGCTTTTCTGGCACTAATCCTATAGCCATGGAAAGAATGGTAGCAGTCCTATACCCCTTTACTACTATACTGCGCACTCTGGAGAATGACCAGGCAACCAGCTTGCGACATGGTGCGCCTATGGGGGCGCAGACGCCGGCATCGCCCGGTTGCTCAACAGCGTGTACATCTGCGGCACCCGCACCTTCGCACATCGTTCACAGCTCACAAAACAACCGGTTATCTCACACTCCAATGACTCCACACAGCACAACAAACTCTTTCAACCTTCGGCAGCTGGTGCAGTCACAAGACTCTCGCTGCCATCGTCCATAAGCATTTCGGGCATGCCGTCGTCGCCTAACGTGATGCATTTCGATTTGAACTGTCAGGACTTCTCAAGAGGTCTCCGACCAGAAAACGTAGCATGCTACACTGCTGTCTCGTAACCTGTCTGAGCTCGCTGTCTCTTCTGTCCGCGACCGCGGCCGCGGCCGAAGTAACCTCGGCCACCTCTCCGAGCTCGCACTGCAATTGCTCGCTTGGAAGAGCGGCCACCTCTGCCACGAAGTCTGCTGTTGCCAGAACGAGCAGGTTGGTCTTCGAGCAGAAAATTGGTGTTTCCTTCACACACAACGTAGAGTTAAGCTGCTATGCTGCATCCTTACACACAGCGATGTTTGTGAGTACTCAAAAATGCTGCTTGGCTGTCCTTCCACATCTTCTGCAGCAGATGTAGCTGCCCCCGCTGTGGGCAAACCCAGAAGCCGTCGGTAAGCTGCTGTCTTGAGGTTGGGGGCTACACGTGCTGCTTGTGCAGCGTGGCATTCCAGCAGGCATTTGTAGTACAACTGGGGCTGGAAATGGTGGATTGACCACACGCCTTTGGCCAAAATCTCATCTGCCTGGATCAAACACCGCAAGTACAACCGGCTGATGGTAGCAGACCCTGTGTCGTAGTACACAATTTTGGGCCCATCGGCAACGTAAGGAGACACGCGTGTCTTTGAGGCCTTCCCAACTTCCCGCCAACCACCTTGCAGGAGGATCAGCAGCAGATCAAACACGGTGTTTTCGTCCAGTTGGCCCCGTGTGCGGGCCTTCGACACATACTCACAAATGGACGCCGGGCCGTTGTAAAGCTGCGCCACACAAAGGCCTTTTGTTGCATGGCTTGTAGAAGCAATTCTGCCCGAGGCTGCATCTGTGAAGCACGCCAGCCCTTTCATTTCCAGCTGGCGAAATGCATCTCGCTGTTCATCATCTTGCAGGAAAAAAATTTGTGCGGCAGCGCCTGCGCCACACCTCCTTGCAGCAAAGCAGTCAACAGCTCATAAGCCGGAGCCGTCCTGGGCACTGATGTCGTGCGCAGCGTCTACTGCAAAGCTATCTTGTAAAGAGTGTTCTGTTTACAAGATAACAAGCAGGCAACAAGCAAGCAAACAAGCAGAAATAACAAAAAAAACGAAAACACACAAACAAATCCGGCGCGAGAAGCAACCCTAACCCAGGTCGAGGTAAAAACTTCACGCCTTTGTCCAAGGCCCACACGTGTATGCTTTGGGCAAGAACGTCGAAGGTGTGTTGCCTCAAGGTCAATGCCATTGGGGCTCCCAGGGGAGCCAAGTGAACGGCCCTCTGGTCACCATCACCGCACTGGTCAATCTCAACAGGTACGTAGCACTGCACCATGAAATCAAACTGCCGCAGAGGCGCGCCTGTGATCACGTGCCTGTCCATGGCTCCCGAAGAAATTCTGAAAAACGAATGATCTCCAAAAGCCCGGGAAGGCGCCAAGCATTTGGCAAAGTGCCGAGCAGCCTCGTCTTGAAACAAATGTGCTGAAGGAACAATGTCTTGCCCTGGCAACGCAAGCACGTCGCTGCCGCTGCCTACGGCAGCTGAAGCCAGAACACTGTCAGCGTCTTCCACCTCCATATCACCGGTATGCTCAGCCAGTGACCGGTGCGGGTTCACAAGCTGCTGCACCGGCTCACACTTGTCACCGAAGACAGTCGCAGGCATAGAGAACATGACTTGGTCCCGCTGCCCGACCTGTGAAACAAGGAAATGAAAAGCGCAAGGCGCAGAACGATTTAATCGTAACGCTTAATTTGTAGCTGAGGAGGTTCAGCGAGCGCAGTCGGCTTAGAAACAGTAGCACGAGCGAGTGGGAACCCAACAAGCAAAGAAACAAACAAGAAACCAAACCTATTGTGTAGGGGTGGCGTTTCGAGTCAGCCATGGTTTAGGCAGGTATTGAGTTTAGTGGCTTGTGTGATTGACAACAAAGATGGTTTAAACGGTACATAAGCAGCCAACCGAGCGATAGCTGAGACGCCTCTTGCAAGTGGGACAGCAAAGCTCTGGCCAGGGGATCAGTGGCAGCTGTCGTGAGCTCGAGTAGTCCGCTTTCCCGGTCTGCCTGCATTTGCCGCATGTTGTCCGCCAGTTTGGCGGAATCAAGTTCATCTTGCAGTCGTTTCCGAGGAGCATGCTTGAGACGAAGGTTGTCACGATAAAGCATCGACGCGAGCTCCCTTGCGTTGAGCTGCTGCAGATAGGGGCTCGGCTCCAAGTGCAAAAGCTTCCTTACTCCATTGCAACTATAGTCATGAGGACCATGCTGATCCAAGCGCATGCCAGCATGCTGCGCTTCAACATGGTTGTTAGCTTGTCATTGATTTTTCAGTAAGTCTCACGCAATATCAACTTTCTGAAGCCCCGTTCCCTGACCGACTCGGCGACGAGCGGGTCGCTCTCCAGACCACGAAGCGCCTTGGGTTCGTATGACACATACGGAACTTTGCAAGCGGGGCTTCGCCGGATGACTTTGCTGATCTGGCTGCGCAGTCCCTCTACAGAGCGGGTTACCACGCGAACCTCGGGTGCTTTCGTACGTGGAGAGAGCGAAACATCAATAGTTTATGGAGAAACCCCAGACAATCTTACACTGGCTCCCCAGGCACGTGTTTCATTGCTGCCAGCCACGACAGCAGGGAGGCTACAGCCGTGGAGTCCGGAGCGGAGTCGTAGATCTGCAAGACAGTCTCACCGCGAGCCAAGCGCTGGACAAAGTCTCGCAAAGGAGGGTCGGTCAGGTCTGGCGTTTCAGCAGTGCCATTCAGGCCATACCATTCTCCACTCAAGAACCTCTGGCTTTGAACATGAAGCCTCCCTCTTCCACCCTGCGCCCACAGCCTTAGAAAGAAGCTGCATCCGGTGTCATTAGTCTGAGAAAGTCCTCAGAAGATGTTGTCCGTAACTGAAACCAAAGCCAAGTGTCTGCAAACAGGCCTTGGCTGCCGAAGTCACAACTACCGGATTCGTGTGGGAGAGCGCGCCTAGGCGATGTCTGACAGAATCGCAGTCACCGTGAATGCAAGGAACCGCGAACGAAAACAAAACCCACCACAGAGAAGAAAACGCATCTGAGCACACAAAGCAGCATAGCCGCCACGGCAGCTGCTGCCAGTACCCAAGCTTTACCTGAATGCCTCCCCACAACCGCGCACGTGCCTTCGCCCAGTCCGAAAAGTACTGGGCGCGATCGGTGTCGCGTGACATCACCAAGTATTGCCCAAGAGCTGCCCTGTTCTTGACCATGGTGTTTTTGAGTTCTTGCTGCCATTGTCCTGACGCGAATTCTGCAGCACGACATCCTTTGTAGGCGCACGTCGAGTTCGGCTTCCTGCAGCAGCCGCACCCTTCTGCCCAGCGGCCAGTGAATTCTGCCTCGAAGGCGACATCGTGGCAAAGTGCCACACCTGTCCAAAAGGCGGGAGAAGTTAACGCTGCATTAATGCCTTCGACAGCCACAGACGTAGAGTGCTCGCTGGTGCTCGCATCTGCAGCCTGGAGCACGCGGTGTCCAGACGAGCCGGCCAGGAACTTCTGTTTGTTCCAACATTGTCGAAGCAAAGGTTCCAACTCCAACAAGCCACTGGTAAAATCTACGAGTGCCTCCCACCGGAGCGACACCAGTGAATGCGACCAAGTGTTCAGCTGAGCGGCCCTGGAATCGTCAGGATCGATGCAGCACGCCTGAAAGCGCTCCCTCATTGTCGTCCATCTCAACAGCTTCTCCACCGAGCGAAGTGCTGAGAGAAGCGGTTCCCACCTTTGACTGACCGACTGACTTTTTCTCATGCTCTCTTCTAAGGACAATATCAGCGAGTGCACAAAATCTGTTTACGAATGTATTCCAAAATCATTGCCCTCAATTCACGGCAGCAACGGGCCCTCAACGGGCGTGGTCGTAGTCTGCTGACTGAATGACCGACATTGATTGAATCATTGACTGACTGACTGACAGACTGACTGACTACGGACCCTGAAGTGAAGGCGGGGGACGTGGACATACACTGAAGGGTGTCCGAGAGCAAATTGTCGACTACGTGCTTGACATCGGCGGTGTGCCAAGAATTGGGGAATAGTCGACCCACCCGATGCTGCTCTTGATTTGCGCCCTCCCGGATTGCCACTGCCTCTTCGTCGGGCAGGGCTGCAGCTACGACATTCCCCGGCGCAAGTGCATCCTGACAATGGTGCTGGATTTACTGGCGATGTTTGCCACAATGTCTTAGGGTCTGAAGTGCGAGTTGCACAGTGCAATGACCCACAAGCTTTATCGGCTGACAATATCGGAATATCGGCCACGATGTCTTAGGGTCCTGAATGCGAATTTGCACAAGGCAACGGCTACATGCTAAATCAAAAAAAATCTGCACTGCAGGAGCCCCCACCAAGTTTGGTTTGCTGGCCAACCTCTGCAGCATCGTCGCACAGCGCATTGTACTGAACGTCGTCGGCCAAAGCTGGAACAGTTCCTCTCGACTGAAGATCGGCAGCGCGCTCGCTCAACAGCGCCGGCAAGTCAACCGCAGGGGCTTGTGCAATCTCGTACTCCACGCCTGGGAAACAAGCATGGCCGGTACCAGAGAAAGTGAAACACACACACACACACACCACCACCACCACCTTTGAAACCTTTAGCCGGTTGAACATACCCACGGGAACCTTGGTCACTGCAGTTGTTGATAACCTGTTGGCTGTACGAAGACAAGTCGTTCAAAGGGTTATCGCTCCACCCAACTTCCAGCAACAGTATGTGGATAACTGCATCCAGTTTGTTGGCCAAGCCGGCAGCACCTGCACAGCACATGCGGCGATTTAGGCAAAAAAACCTTCTATCGCAGCCATAATACTTTAAACGGTTGGCCGATGCCTTTGCCCAGCGTTGCAACAGGCAAAGCTCGGCATTGCACGTCCAAGGTGGGAGCAGGGGCTGTGACCCCCTCATCATCGTCACCTAACTGTAGCTGCTGCATTGGTTGGGAGTCCCGCAGATCATGCGCGTACCGCAGGATGGAGTCTTCTCTCCTGCTCACGAACCACAGGCTGCTACCCACTGCACAATACCGCAAATGCAACAAACACTCTTGCCTCACACTGAACTCCTGTGTGAGGAGAAAATCTTTCCTTTTCTCTGAAGCATCATAGCCTCAATTGCGTTTGAAGAAACCCTGCCTGACTTCTTCTTATGTGACTACGCTGCACTGCGGGACAAGCAACCCAAAGCGATAAAGTGATTCTTGAATCCACCTTGTCGCCAGAACTGCCTTCTGGCCACCATCAACAACGCATCTAAGCGCAAGCGCGCCCGGGTCATCGTCGCCCCTCCTGGGCCCTTGTTGGCCTTCTCATCTGTATCCTAAAAGCGGCGCTGGACATGCCGTAAGCTACATCATACAAGACTTCCAACAATGTATTCAGAAGTGGCCAAAACTGTTACGAGAGGCTGCTTCCAGAGCAGCAGGCTGGCCAGTCGCAATGACTATGGCAGCCCGCATCGCATTTCTGAAGTTGTCTGCATTTCGCAAATGCATTGCCCTCAGCATGCTGCAACTTGGACGGGTTCTCAATGCGTGCTGGCAACCAAAGCGACAACCATCAAACTCAATTGCAGACAGGCGACAGCAACATGAACTTCCCAAGCTGTACAATACTGTAAGCAGGTTTTCCACGCCCTAATTTCGCTTCGGGTTTCAGCGATCCAGACAGTCCAGACACCGTCGAAACCGGCGCACGCCCAAGTTGTCCTGCAGCTGGTTCCGTCACGGGCTCCGTCTGCGTCGATGCCTGTCAACAACTGCGTGGCAGCATTGGCAACCACAACCACTATTTCACCACCAACCTCGCAATCGCCGTCACTGCTCAAGCGAGTTTCATAGAACCTACGGCCCAGCCTGCAGCCCAGCCACCTCCAATAGCAACACCATTGCTTCCTGGAACATCCGTACCTGGCACAACGTTTTTGGCGATTTATGACCTGGACACCTGTGTACAGCACAGTCGCCTCGGGCCTCGGGGTAATAAAATATCGGAAGTTTTCTGACAGCACTGTTGCCTCGGGGCAATAATATATCGGAAATTTCATCACTGATAAAATATACTGCGTTACAGGAAACATGAATTGAAGAATTTGCCATAACTCCTCGGTTGCAGTCTTGGCCCACTCGCTGTGAACACGGAATATTACTTGGCTCCGAAAGCAAACACCTAGAGCAAACCTCTTAGTGTTCTGCCTCCCTAACTCGCCGAAACATAATTACCTGTACCAGCAAAGCGTTCAACCAAGCACTCACACTCTGGCGCTCTCACTACAACTGCACGCCCGCCCACTAACTGCAGACCACCCGTCTGCATAAGCAACCTGCGCCTGCGCCCCAAAACATGCTCCGCAGCCTGAGAAGCCTACTACATCTACCCAGTCGATAGCCACACCCCCTCAGGATTTGAGGGTTTCCTGATACCCGGACCACCCAAACACGCACTCTTGAAGCTTGCACTGCCAAGCCCATGCAACATTCCCAGCCTGCTCTGCTGTACCATGTCTGAGAACTGGTTCTGCAGAGCGTAGCAAGCAGTTGTAGCATTGCGAAAGCTTGTCCGCGTCCGTTCGGAACGGCACTATCGCCATCAGAGACTCTGAGAGGCAAGGTGATATTTAGAGTGCACACGTCCGGAAAGGCTTTTTAGGGGCTTACAGATATTGATATGTTCAAGGCCACGGGGTTACCTACAAGAATTAACTCTACGGCTTTTGTATCAAGGGACTAAAGGAGAGACCCTTAAAAGGTTTTTTGTGTTATATAGAGGCTTCATGAGACTATATAAGGGGTATATAATGGTTATCTAGGATTAGGGGTCCTTTCTCGGGGTCTCTCCTATTGTCCCTTAATTGTAAGTGTTGACGAAGTGATGCTACGAACTATCGTGCCGGTGCTTCAGCAAGACTTCAAAAGCATACAGTGCCACTTCTCGCACCGAAGTCAGACAGGAATCTCTGTGTTTGTGCTACATGTAGCTGAGCCCCTGCCGCTGCTTTCAGCAGTGAACATGCAGCAACATATGCCCCTGGCGTGACTTCAGAATCTCAAACTGCGACAAACGGTTCAGGCAAGCCTTCGATGCATGTTCGATTCGACTTCGGAATGTGAAACACTGGTTATCGAGATATCGTCTTTGTTTAAACTTGCAACAGCGCCAAAATCTCACGTGTACACAGCCTTTTTATTCAAGGACACTATAACATCTTGCAATCACCCCCTCCAACGGCCAGTAGCATTTGGAACCGGCAGAGGCACGCAATTCCGCCCAAACAAACTTTGCAGAATCTATCTTCTCCAAATCAACCAACTATCATTTCCGGAGGCATCATCCAAGCATCAAGAATGCGAACATTGGATATCATCATGATTTCCTAACAGCCCGTG